GACCGAAGTTCAAATATGGCCTCAGACACTTAGTAAGTACCTGTGTGACCCTGGACAAATCATTTAATTCTGTTTATCTCAGTTTTTTCATCTGTAAAATGATCTAAAGAAGGAAACCACTTTGGTATCTTTGCCAAGAAAATCCCAAACTGGGTAATGAAGAGTCAGACATGACTGAACAACAAAAACAAAAAATAAATTTTTATTGATTGATTGGTCAATAGCCTCTATACTTCCAGTCTGGGTGAGCTAGGGAGAACCAGTCTCTAAATAAATAAAAAACAAACAAACAAAAGCCAGTAGACTTAGAGCTCTGACAAAGGTATTTACTCAAATTACACAACCCCAGTAATTACAAATAATTTTCCTCAACCCTAGGGTACACTTTCCTACAAATACACCCAGAATACAGAAGAGGGAAGAATGGGCAAAAACTTGGAATACAATAGCTAGGCACAAGTGTAAGGGACTCACTCAGAATCACAGGACCTTGAAGTCCTTTCTCCAGATGATTCTTGCAAAATTTGGTTATGAGTCACTAGCTGCTGTCTTGGTGGCTTAGCTGGGCTCCATCCTAGAATTAGATGTCTTATCCGTATTGGCTTATCTGCTAAACTAGGCCAGGTAGGTCACTTGGTGGTTAAACTGACTTCTCACTGGGCTCTGGATTGCAGGACTGGTTGCTTCTAGGCAGCTGCTGGTGGACATATGGGGCCATGCAGGTGTCTCTTTAGGGTGGGTTGCTCTGCTGATCTACAATCACCTTATTTCTGAAACTATTTATCTCCTCCAGGCTGCAGAAGGGAGAGGGGTTTGTGCTTTCTTTCTATAAATTCTTCTTCACTTAGAGGCCTCTTCACAACTCCATGTTTCCTTAGAGCTTTCAGGTTGGTTTTGGTTTTTTTGTTTTTACTTCCCAGACTCCTCTGAGAATCTTATGTAGGTAAAAAAATAGCTTGGAGCTTGAATTGTAGTCTGCCTAAATAGGTGCCTTCTTTGTCTTGCTGGCCTCTTCATATATAATTATAGTATTTAAACTCTCTACATTTTTTAGGGTAGAAAATGTTTATTTTGGGAAAGATTTTTCTTTACTGTTCATTCTGTCTTTTGCCTCTGAAGACCTATAATTCTGTCAAAGTCTCACTAGGGCATCTTACTACAATGTAACTTTCCCCCACCTCCTCCTTAGATGGAGGACATACCCTTATCCCCAGTATGTATCCTTTGTATATGGTTGTTTGCTTATTGTTTGTATGTAGTTGTTTGTGTGTTGTTTTCCTTCCTAGATTGTGAGTTCTTAGAAAGCACGGACTGATTTTTGCCTTTCATTGTACCTTCAGCTCTTAGTACAGTGCCTAGTACATTGCAGCACACTTAATAAATTCCAACTGACAAACAGTAAGGAAGCATCCAGTTTGACTGGACCATAAGAGGATATAAAGGGGAGAAAAATATAAGTATGGGAAGGTAGATTAAAGATAGGTTAGAGCTAAATTGTGAATGGCTTTAAAGGGCAGATCTGGTGCCTGATTTGATTTAGAGGATGAAAGAGAAAAATGACTGCAGAGATTCAACAGTTTCACACTTGTAATTGGGAGAATATAATGTTGACCAAATGCGGAGTAGAAATCGGAAAGTAGAGATGCTTTGGAGGCACAGGCAGAAGAAATATATTGGGTTTGAGGTGTTGCTTCGGAGCCATTTCCCTATCCACCAATGATGGCAAGACTTCCAAGTGTCCTTTCCTTTTTTCATACTACTTTCTGTCTATCAAGCTTCTGGGATCCTGTTGGCAGGAAGAAAAAGGAATGGAAAGGAAAGCATGCATACACATTTACTTTGATTTTATGAAAGAGGTGATAGCTAATTTTACCTTTCTCTTCTGTACGCCTGTGTGTATGTGTATACATACATTCTCACTGTAAATGCAGATTGATGTAAAACCAACTAATACATGCAGACAAAGCAAAAGCATTGTCCAGAAATACAACCTAGAGATTTCTCACTTGTTCTAGTAAAGCCTGTGAAAATTTCGCCTTAACAGCCACATTGTGCTAGCGTTGTGAGAAAAGTGTTTTGTATTTGTTACACTGTTTTTAACCAAAGATAAGATAAAAAAATAAGTAAGTTGCCTTTTCAAAAACAACTCTGATTTCTTGAATAAGTAGGGTTGATGGGGGCTGGGTGGAAGAGTGGCTCTGAGGTAGTAAGTCAATTTTTGTTTTGAAGGAGAAAAGATAATTCTGACTTAGCTTGTTCTGTTCCTATCTCAGGGCTCCTAGTAAAGGCTGTGGTCTATAATATTCATAGGTGGGATACTTCCAGAATTTCTTTCCCAATGATAAGGGGACCTGAGTGACCTGAGAGACCATCATAGATTTTAGAGCTAGAAGGATCTTGAATCATCCAATCTACCCATCTCCTTTTATAAACATGATGAAGAAACTGGCCCTCAGTTTCTTTATGTCTACAGAAGGTAGAATACTATGTTCAAGCTCTCAAAGGGATTAAATGACAGAGTTGATATTCAAAACTGGAGAAGGAAGCATCAGAAGGTGCTACTATTGAACATCTTCAGGGGTTTGTAGCTTGCAGCTACACATAGTAGGTCATCAGGATTAGTTTATTGCTAATAGAACATGTTGTTTGAAGATTAAAGTGCACATAGTTTCCTTATGCACATCTTTGCTTTTCTGAGAATTGGAAGGGGGTTTCTCAAATGAACTTGAGTGAGTGAAAATATTGCTAAAAGGCCATGGTTTGCATTGGCTTCATTTTATTACATGTCTTTGATGTAGATATTTTAAGAATGGTTTCCTAGTAAAGTGCTATACACCTATTGGATTTTCAGTAAAGGTTAACAAACGTTGAATTTTCAGATTTTTTTCTTACTCTAAAGGTAATAGTGTTGTGGAATTCCTCAAACAAAAGGTCCTAGGATCCTCCTGGAGATTAATTACCCCCATGATGGATCCAATTTTGACTGAAGGTCAACAAATTAAGAGACAAGGCTAGAAGATAAAAACTTTCACATAAAATGATAGGCATTTTTCAGGTAGATAGCAATGGTCAGAACAAAGGGAAATACACATTTGAGGCTTTATACAACCTTTGGGTGACAGTACCAGAGGTAAAAGAAGACTATCAGATAAGGCCTTTTAGCCACTTAATTTGGGAAGTTGAATAATAGGTATAGGATGTTGGGTGATTTAGGGAAGAATGTGTTAACCTTGGGGTTAGAACTGTTAACCTTGGGGTCTCAAGAGTAACAAAGGTCAGGTTGTTCTGGTGGATATTGCATTTCTTTGAGGTTTGTCGATACAGAATCTTGTGGAGGTGGCAGAAAATCTCTTAAGATAGTGGAAGCTTCCTTCAAAATAGAAATTTTTGTCCTTGCCAGTCTGAGAGTCTCTGCAACCCTGTAGCTGTTTCTTTGATTTCTAAGGTTCCTTATTCTGGGGAGAAGATGTTTTCCCCAAACTAACAGTCTGCTTTCTCCACAATAGTTCCTGATAACTTCTCAAAACGATGTTTCGTACATATCCAGGATACACTTCAAGTGTGGTTATAGGAAGAGATATGTCTTCCCAACTTGTTTCTTAAATGAGGTGAAACAGGTTAAGATTAGAAGAATTTGCCTTTAATTACCCGCAAAATGGTAAATAGATATGACTGGATGTAAATTATTATTTTTAAATACCTAAGGAAACTAAAATGAGAGTCTTCCTGCAAGATATGTAGTCATCTTCCTTTGACATCCTAAGGAGGCAATTTTTAAGGAAATTGATGAGAGATACTTCTATGTGTGTGAGGTACAGCTGGGGACTGGGGCAGGGGAACAGTTAAAGTAAACAGAACACTTCTTTGTGACGCTTGCCCAGAATCATTACGTTTCTCAGAGTAGGGATCTATAAGACCTGTTATTGACCTGCTTTCTTGCCTAGCATGTGGGGTGAATTTACCCTCACGAAAATGTTAATTCTGAAGTAGGTTATATAGGGATGGAAAAAGAATCATTAGGGTTTGTGTTGTATCCAAAGAAACCCTAATTAACACAGCGAAATGTCCTGAACCTGGGTATGGGCTGTATTGCTTCATGTTGCCAGGCAAACTCACGAAGAGACTGTCCTTAGGACCATGGAATGGGGAATCCTCCCCTGTGCGGGGGATGTGCAAACTATAGCACACTTGTCGGAGATACTCTTTGCTCTAGAGCTGCTTGCGTTATCCAGTAGGGCTTATTCGTAAGGCTGCTGAAGATTGATTTGTGCCATCCATCGCTTGCAGGCAAAATCCTTTTGCATCTCTCCATCAAAATCAAACACCACTACTCCGCCCCTCCCCTTTGTCCGCCCCTCGGATAGAGGCGGCTGCATCCCCCATTCTCCCAATTCCGAAGCGTGAGAATTTGTCTTTTTCCTCCTTGTTACCCAAGAGGGTTCTGGTTTGCAGTTGTGACTTGGGGCTGCCAAAGAACAATAGCCTCAGAGCTCAGCTGCCCTCCCTTGCCTCAGCCCAGCCCAGGCCTGGCCTTGGCGCTTTCCCTGCACCAGACAGAAGCTGCTCAAAGCTCCTGCCCTGCCCTCTGCTCCTCCTCGGCGCTCTCTGCTCTGGTGCTCAAGTGCAGTGCTGCCAAGGCTCGGGGAGGTGGGTACTGGTGGAGCAAGCGCCTGCGCCAGCCCCAGCTCGGGCAGGCAGGCTTAGGGGCGGGAGGAGGGGATGGCCACCGCTGCCACCTCTGCTGCCCTGCTCCTCTGCTGTCAGGCTGGAGTCTAAGCCTGGGGAGGGGGAGGAGAGAGGGAGGGAGGAGGAGGAGCTGGGAGCAGCAGCGGCAGCAGTCTCCGGGGGGGGGATAGGTACATAGGCGGGACCTGGGCATCGTGCTGAGAGCATCCTTCCCCCAGCTCTGTCCCCAGCAGCTGCCAGTGTTTGCTCGCCTCTTGCCTGGTTCCTGACTTCTTTTGTGTTCTCTTCCCTGCCCTGTCTGTTGCTTGCTGCAGGACCTGTTTATACCACCTCAAGCTACAAGAAAGCGGATGATGAGATGTCCGGGACCACGTCCACTGCTGACCTGGAGGAAGCACCTACTCGTACCATTTACTTCAACCAGCCCCAGCAGACCAAGTTCCACGACAACCAAGTCAGGTAAAAAAAAAATGGGGCAGTTGGGAGGAGGAGCAAGGAGAAACCCTTCCTTGCATGCACAGTTAGGATGCTAGGTGCTGTTTCTTTCCAGCGACTCCCTCAAAGAACAACAACCATACAAAAAGCAGTTGTATTCTGTGGACCCCTCTGGTTTGGAGTACTTGCCCTCTTGACACTCTCATCCCTTTCCTCTTTTGCTCAGGTGATCCTTTGCCTCAAGCCCTCATAGTTCCTGGAATCCTGAGCAAAGGCTCCCCTGCCCCCACTTCTAAGAGAGGGATCCTTTCTCATCCCAAGGCCCTCACCCAGGGGATCCCCTTGAACCTATTGCTGAGCAGTACTGTGTAGCCAAATGCTAGAAGATATTTCTTGTTTACAGACTGCACAGGCATCTTTTTTAAAAAAAGAAATGACACACTTCATAAAGCTTTATTACCCAAGCATTGTACCTGGCAATTAATTAGTCAAACAGCCTGTCATAAGAAACACCTGGTTTTCACTTGTTTGAGCTTAGAGTAATGAGAACTAAGTTTGCCCAGCTTCTCTGACATTGGCATTTAAACACAGAGTTGTAGAATGTTAGCAGTAGGAGGTGCCCTAGAGGTAATATCTAGTCCTTTCCTTTTACGGAAACGGAAACTGTGACTGGAGGAGGTGAAGTGATTTGTCTCAGGTCATATTACAAGTTAGTAGGAACCTAGTACTAGAACCTTGGTCTCTTTGACTTCTAGTAAAACATTCTTCCTTGAAGGCTCTGTTTAAAATATTTTACAATTTTTTTATTAAGAGAAGAAAAATATTTTGACAGTTCTATTAAAGAAAGATTATTTCAGCAACTATCATAAGTGACTTAATTAGAATAAGCAGTGGTATTAACATATGGAATGACTTCTTTCTTGATGAAGAAGAGCATTATGGGTGTCATGGATTTTCTCTTTGAACCTCTGATCAGTTAAATAAAATGATTAGTGTTGCCTTTAGTGAAAGGATAGTTTAATATTACTGTTAGAAAAACTACATGCTTTTCTTTACTATCATTTTTCAGACTTGCTGTCTGACCATTGATGGACTGAGATGTTGGTTTCTCTATGGTGGGGAGATTTACTCCATTCATTCAGTAGTTTTCCAAGCTGTTCATATTCTCAGCTTCCATTTTAGAAGAAAGGCTTTCTTTCTGAGCTAGCCTGGGCCTGGCCTGTGCTGATATACCTGTGTACCTGTATTAATTCATACCTTTTGCTGTAACTTGCCTATATAAAGTTAAATCATAAAAGTATTTTACATTAAGATAGGAATTGAACAGTTAGGATATTTCTCTTTCTTTCAAGAGTTCAGTGTGCTGACAGGTGTTCTTTCTATTTGACTTCCAGAGTTTAGATCTTATTTGTGTTCTTATTTATTTTTGTCTTCAAATGCTACAGAGGAAATGTGATGGGAGATGGGTATCTTTCGTCATCCTCACTCAGGAAAAAGCTCCTCGTCCCTTTCTTAACTTCTATAGAAGGGGTGTAGTAGAGGAAGTTTAATTCCTGCAGTCTATATTAGGACAAAATTATTTTCTTGAGTCTCATTGCAGTTTAATAGTAGAATTTTAAGAGACTAGTGTGTTGCATGCTTTCAGATATGGTGTGGTGTGCATGTAAACTACAGAGTGTTAACAGCGAGAAAAAATTACAGTAGTCCTTCCTTCTCCCCACCTCCTCTTATGCCTCGGGATAAAAAACCCTGTATAAGTGATCTAAGTTAGAATCAAATTAGCTGAACCTTGTACTTATTAATTATTAAAATATTGTCTGTATATATTCAAGTTTCATAGCATGTACTGTCAGCATAAAATTGGCTCAAAATTGAATAGTTAAGATCTTGAACATTTAAATGTAACTTGCTTTATGGTCTGGGAGCCCAAGCATGCTTGATGTACAACATGTCTGTCAGTAGGAATGACAACCAGACTAATCATATAACATTATCCCTAAGAGGCTTATCATAATAGCATATCATTTCATCAAGAATTCCTTGCAAAACTTGCTTGGACTCTTAATGGTTATCAGAGGGAGGTAAATTATGGCGTCTTTTACTATCATAGTGACTTTGAAGCTTGCCTTTTTTTTATTTAAAGATTTCAGTCAGTTATTGATAATTGTCAAGGCCCTTCTTTTTGGCCAGAAAGGTTTGTTAAGAGTCTAAAACAGAAAAAAAGATCTATTTTTATAATCAAATTGAACACCAAGATTTTATTACTTTGTTTTCATCTTCCAAGGCATTATTTAGGAAAATCACATCACTCTGAGGAAGGACAATTTCCCATAGAGGGAGAATCCCAGATTCTAGATCACTGGTGTTTTCCCCCTAAGTATGATGAAAAATAATATACTATTTTTTTCTAGAGAATAGTACCAAATAAGTTATTTGAGGTGGATCATAGTTTTATATAAAGAGACCTACAATTTGGTTGGACCTTGCTTAAGCATGATTCTTGGTTTCTAATTTCTAACTTTTTACTGGCTTGGCGCTTTATTGCCAGGAGGCTAATCTCTTGCTCCACCAACCATAGGTAGCTAAGGATTTGATTCAGAAAAGGATCACAGTTGGGGATGTCTGCTCAGGTGACTGTGCAGTTGGGACATAAAGTATAAGATGGAGGAGAAGAGGCTAAGTTTTCAGAAAGCAGGGGAAGGGGAATGGAGGTTGATTCTGAGCTTATTCTAGGAATAAGGGAAGCAGAAAGGGGAGAAGATTGCCCTAAATCTCTTCATGAACTAGACTTACTATGCATGCCGTCTCTATTTGATAGCTCTGAAATGTAGAGCTTTACCTTAAGCAATTGTCTTTCCAATTGCCTCTTGTCATTTTACAGCTGGTAGCCAAGTCCCTTAGGGACAGCTAGGTGGTACAGTGGATGGAGGGCAGGGCCTGGAGTCAGGAAGACTCGTCTTCCTGAGTTCAAATTTGTCCTCAGACACTTACTCTAGCTATGTGACCCTGGGCAGGTCACTTAACCCTGTTTGCCTCAGTTTTCTCACCTGTAAAATAAGCTGGAGAAGCAAATAGCAAACAACTCTAGTATCTTTGCCAAGAAAACCCCAAATAAGGTAATGGAGAGTCGAAATGACTAAGTCCCCAAATATTCAAGCTAGAAATAATGTTGGTGTTTCATCTCAAATCTACAATTTCTTGTAGTTCATCATTCACTTAAAATATTCCATTTTGATTTAAGATCATTCATGCTAGTAAGCTACAAATATACCTTTTCCTCCTAGGCAATAATCTTCTTCAGAGTCAGCATGGCATCATGGATAGAGATCTGGTCTGAAAGTCAGGAACACTTGAGTTCATCCTTCTGACCCAAACTGACAATGTGACTGTATTAACCTTTCAGAACTCCAAGAAGCTCTGAAAAACTCTGCGATAGGCGGTGTCCATAGAAATTCCTTCCTTTGGGGGAAATGACAATCATAGAATCCCATTGACATGTATCACTTGTAAATGATAGTTGGAAGTAGTTTAAAAAAATGATGTGACATAGCTCAGCATAGGATAATGTGCCCTATTTTATGTAACAAATGCCTTTCTACAAAGTTGAGTGAAAGACAAATTTTGGTAGTTTGAATTGTGCTTTAAACCCCCTATGAGAACTTGCTGTTTAAAAACATAAGAAGCCAGTGAACCTTTTTTGTTATGTGAATAACCATCTCTTAATTTGATTTGTAAAGCTAGTTTCACCCAAATTTACTCAGAAGAATATACCTGTGTTCAAAATCAAGTTAAAAAACCCCACACAACTCATACATTGAGAAATCAGTATTTATATAATCAGGAACTGGGCCTGGTGCCTAGATGTGGCCTTTTTATGTGGTTGTAAATATCTGATTCTTGAATTGGGGCTTAAAAGCTAAAACAAGTTGTTTTCACAGCTCTTTTGAGATAGAATTCTTAAAAGCAAGATGGGAATGTAACCATATGCCCAGGTATTTAATGCATCATCCATTTCAAGTGGGAGTTTTTTCTTGGCAAAAATAACTCAAGAGTTCAAGCAGCCAGTTACTAGAGCAGCAGCCAAATAGCAATGATAGGATTTTAATTCCAAAGGATACAAGAGCTTACTTCCTCAGGTCGTCTTGTATGTAACTGAAGTCAAATTGTGATTGTCAGTAAAAGGTTGCCTTGCATTCATTGGCTTTAAATTACAGTCATCTTCCTTTGTAAAGTAATAACTATTTACTGGCCCTGTTTTAATGCTATACGGGGTCATGGTTTTATTGTAGTGTCTGTACAAGTTGTTCACGTGCTAAGAGCCTGGTTCTTGAGAACCTCTTTTCTGATATTGCTAAGATGAGATTTTTGGCTATAAAGAATGAAAGGGGACAAAATCCCATCTTGAATGGGAATTATGTCAACTTATTTTCCGCTTGAAGGACCTGTGGCTTCATCTATCTGGCTAGTCCTTCCAACCACACAGATCCCATCCCCTCCATGCCTTAAAGGACGATTCTGATTTTCCATGCACCCTCACCCCCAAATTATCACTTGATAGTTAACCTTCTATCTATGAGCCTCCACATTTAGCTTAGTTGGGTGTCAGATGTGACATATACACATAGCTCATTTTCAGGATCTTTACTCACATCCTTCCAACTTGGTAAGACTGTCAGAGCCTTCATTGGCACTGCTTGTGAAATCCATGGCCACTTCTGTTTCACTTGGAAGCACTGGAGTAGAGAAACCTTGTAGAAGAAAGGTTTTAGCAGAAAGGGGTTATTAGGGTACATGATTTAATGCTTTGATCATTGCAAATCAAGCAGTATTTGGTGATCATCACCACCAACAGAAGGTAGGTACTGTGTAAGCAGCCCCAAGGTGTTGGGGGGTAGAGGAGAGGTAGAATTGGAAGAAGAACCATAGTCTAACTGTAATAAGACAAATATTATACCATCATCTACATTGCAAGTAAAAGCTTTAGAGACCATTTTGGATAAAGTGTGGAAGTCCTACATGTCCCT